AGAATGCCCACACTTTGAAAGGTATATAGAAACAGTGTCAAGGAAGGGGATGGCAGATTCACAACCCCCAGGCACAGCCACCCAGGGACAAATACTTGCTGAGTAGAAAGGCAGACAGAATCACCTGAACTACTTTTCTTCCTACCTCCCACTCCCTTTCCCCCACCCTTTATTTCTCCTCAAAGCATGTAGCTGAATGAGCAGAGCTGCACATAATAGGCCCCTACAGTATTTACTGAGCACCTTTTATGTATCAGACACACTGAGTGATTCTGTGTGGTCAGAGAGCTGCTGGATAAAACCTATGCCAGAACCAGCCATTTAGGCTGCAAAGCCAGGATTAGGCCTTGCCATTTACCAAGTAACCCTGGCTTCCTGTGCCTATACTCTGGTCAAGGAGCTTCATATTCTGGCTTCTTCCAGAGACATTCCTGAAGATGCAAGGTGGTCCCCAGACCACCTTAGTGAGGGCAAATAAAGCTGCACAGGGCAAATGCTGAGCTCTGACCCTGCTCTACTGCAGCCTGGCCCCAACCTCTGGGGTTAAGTGGGACCGTTCACGTGGCATTCAAAGTTCCTTCATTCACCCACCAAAAGGTTCCCATAGATCCCTCTGCTCCAGGTACCAGAAGTATCTATCTGGCTCTATCTTTCCCAGGGAGAGGAAAACACACTCTAGTTTACAAAACCTAAACCCAGACACCTATATTCTTCTGGCATCATTAACCACCTTCCCCACTTGATGGGTTGAGGAGGTTCTCTGCCAGCCTTAATGCCTCCTACTCTAAAAACTGACCACCTCGTTTTCTTCCTGAAAAGGACAGGTCTAGTCACTGTCATTTTCCTGTTCATAGAATACGCAACATGGAAATTAAAAAGTCCCAATCTTCAACTGTTACAAACCTTCAGCCTGTTGAAAACTAACAAAGCTCCAATCCTTCCTCATGGCAGGGAGGCTGTGTGCAGTAGGGATTAGGAGTGTGGGCTTCAGTGGTCAGGCACAGTGGCTCACGCCTGTAATCCCAGCACTTTGGGAGGCTGAGGCGGGCGGATCACAAAGTCAAGACCAGCCTGGCCAACATGATGAAACCCCGTCTCTACTAAAAATACCAAAATTAGTAGCAGGCGCCCGTAATCCCAGCTACTTGGGAGGCTGAGGTAGGAGAATCGCTTGAACCCGGGAGGCAGAGGTTACAGTGAGCCGAGACTATGCCACTGCACTCCAGCCTGGGCAACAAGAGCAACTCTGTCTCAAAAAAAAAAAAAAAAAAAAAAAAAAAAAACACCCTACAAAATTTAGCTGGGCTTGGTGGTGTGCTCCTGTAATCCCAGCTGCTCGGGAGGCTGAGTCAGGAGAATCACTTGAATCCAGGAGGTGGAGGTTGCAGTGAGCTGAAATCATGCCACTGCACTCCAGCGTGGGTGACAGAGCAAGACTCTGTCTTAAAAAAAATAAATAACAACAACGAAAAAAAACATGTGCGCTTCAGAGCCGGAACTAGACAGACTTGGGCTTGAGCCCAGCTCTGTCCCATGCTACTGTGTGATCTTGGGCAAGTTACTTAACTTCTCTGTGCCTGGTCTTTTCTTAATTGTGGCCTCCTCACAGGGTTTGAAGAGTTAAATGAGGTAATTCAGGTCAAGGGTTTAGCACAGAAACTGACCCATTCTAAATGCTCAATCATATCACCATTAGGTACCTTTGCCATCAGAACACAGATGCAGAACAGCTTCTCATTTCATCCTGAAAGCAGCCTGAGACCTACACCTTTATGATCCTCGCTGTCACAGGTACTAGACTTCAAAGGATGTGGTCAAGGTGACACAGCCACTCCCTTGTTCACAATGCATGCCCTTAAACAGTGGTAGCACTTAGCCAACCACCAGATCTGCTCTCTGTCACCTCTCCCCACCCGAGCACAGGCTCCTGAATCCTCCACAGCGAGTGTGGTTGTTAACAGTGGTTCAGACATTCTGTGCCTCAATTTGAGTACAGGGTCCTTCATTCTCTAGCTGCATGACTCTGGGGCTACTTAACTTCTCTATGCCCCAGTTCTATCAGCTGTAAAATGAAGATGATAATCGCACCTTCCTTGGGATTACTTAGAACAGTGCCTGGCAAATAGAAAGCATTACTTTTTTTTTTTTAAAGAGACAGGGTCTCCCCACGTTGCCCAGGCTGGAGCACAGTAGCCATTCACAGCATGGTCATAGTGCACTACAGCCTCGAATTCCTAGACTCAACCGATCCTCCTGCCTCAGCGCCCTGAGTAGCTGGGACTACAGGCACATGATACCATGCCTGGCTTTTTTTTTTTTTTTTTCAACAAAAGAGCATCTGGGACCTCAAATTCAGCACTGTCTCAAACCCAACTCATTTCAGCATCCCTTACCCCAGCTTCCTCTCCTACCACTAACCCGCTATGGGGAATTTGGCTGCCCCCAAACATTCCAGTTCCTTAAACACTTGTGGGCCAGCCCCCATACCCTAGGTCTGGCAAGACCAACCCAGCTCTGAGGTCACTGCCACTCCACAGACTTTCTTTCTTCAGCCCTTTCCGCAGTACCTGTAGCAGACTCCTCACTGCTTCCCATCAGCACACTGTCTACCCTCAAGTGTTGGCAAGGTTGATGCCTTCTCCTGTGGCCCCAGGCCTGGTAGTGTCTGATACACAGCAGGCAATGAGTAAGCAAATAATTTGGCATCTATTCGACCTACTGAAAATACTCATTGGATTTTTTTTTTTTCCCAAGATGGAGTCTTGCTCTGTCGCCCAGAGCTGGAGTCCAATGGCGCAATCTCGGCTCACTGCAACCTCCACCTCCCAGGTTCAAGCAATTCTCCTGCCTCAGCCTCCCGAGTAACTAGGATTATAGGTGCGTGCCACCACGCCCTGCTAATTTTTGTATTTTTAGTAGAGATGGGGTTTTACCATGTTGTCCAGACTGGTCTCGAACTGCTGACCTCGTGATCCGTCCACCTCAGCCTCCCAAAGTGCTGGGATTACAGGCTTGAGCCACCGTACCCAGCCAATACTCATCGGATTTAAAGGTAACTTTCTCAGTTTAAACTGCCCAGGTTCCAAATATAGCATCTCAGAGGGAACTGTGGGTAGCTAGACTAGGGCAGCAGGTTCTATCTGGAAATGTCAGTATTACAAAACGCCCATGGGATGAGGGAGAGTCTGAGTTCCCGGCTCCATCCCCTCCTCAGGCCAGCACGTGAGTTTAATTTCCCTCTGGCCTCTGGTTCCAGTGCCCCTTTGCTATCACTAAAATTTTGGGATGGGCAAAAGACTAGAACAATCCACAGCTCTCACTATATAGACCAGTTCTTTACATTTTTCAGGTTCCAAGTGCTCAAGTTCTACTGGAGGTGAGCTTTGGGAATGCATACCTACACAAGTCTGCCTTTTCTATCTTTTTAATCTTCTCACTGAACCCGCAAGGAAAATGTCTACTGCATCAAAAAACCCTCAGCCCACCTAAAGCACCTCAGGGCTGGTAAAAGCCTAGCTGCAGCCCACAACCACTCCCTCAAAAGCAAGGCACTAGGTCACTGTATCCACTACCACTGCAACCCCACCAGTCAGGGAAAGAATATTAAGAACATTGGTGAGAATTGGGGCTTGGACTTGGACATGTCAACCTGACAATGCACTGGTATCTTCACCCACAGTCAGACACACTCATGTACCAGCCCTCGCAAGTCTTACCACGGCTGGGGCTTTATCTGCCATGTCCCTGGCACAGGTAGACAGCCAGGAAGCCGGGCACTGCCAGTCAGCAAGCAACCTGACCATGGTTCCAGACCAAGGTGTCTGCCACCATACTGTTCTGCCACACCCACATGCAGGCTGCCTTCTTCCTCCTTGATCCCCAACACCCTGCTGCAGCTTCATCGAGGCTGGCAAGCAGACAAGACCTCCATTGCGCCCATGACCATGCCATACTGAGTCAGACAGTAGGACCAAAACCCACTATGAATACAGAAGCCGATCTAATGCAAATGTATCTGCATTTTAGGAGACCACTGCAATCTGGCACAGACCCAGCCTATGGAAAACTCCTTGCCCCTTTCATTCACAGCGGCAAATTTCCCCTCCAGTCTCTGGCAGTAGAAAAAGCGGCAGGGGGCCGGGCGCAGTGGCGCACGCCTTAATCCTAGCACTTTGGGAGGCCGAGGAGGGTGGATCACCTGAGGTCAGGAGTTCGAGACCAGCTTGGCCAACATGGCGAAACCCCGTCTCTACTAAAAATACAAAAACTAGCCGGGCGTGGTGGCAGGCGCCTGTAATCCGAGCTACTTGGGAGGCTGAGGCAGGAGAATCACTTGAACCCGGGGACGGAGGTTGCGGTGAACTGAGTTCCCGCCACTTCACTCCAGCCTGGGCAAAAGAGCGAGACTCTGTCTCAAAGAAAAAAAAAAAAAAGACAAGAAAGAAAAAGCGGCAGGGGTCTCACTTTGCCACTTGTGTTTATCTGCTTTTTACAACATAAGATGCGTGAAATTAATTGGCAATAATAATTGATTCCTAATGCCCCGTAGTTGTCCCTGGAGACCACCTTCCTGGAACTTTCCCTAGGTAAGTTCTTTGGTAATGAGTCTCCTAAGAAGCTCCTGAAAGTGGGATCTAGCGTTGGCTGACAGCCGGGGAAATCGGCAATTTTCCAAGTTTGATTTCAACTGAAATTTGGAGCTGGGAGTACTTCTGGTCCCTCCTTCAGGGATATGAACGTTAGGAGATGGAACCCGGACACAATTCTTATCCTTGGGAACCGAGGCTTCCCCACTATCCCCTGCCACCAGGAGCGGCCCGGGGGATCCGGGGAAGACACGCAGAGTGGGGTGTGAGTCGGGGACCCCGGGACCCCGTGGCCCGCGCTTCCGGTAGGGAGCTGAGGAGGTAGTCGCCCCGGCCTGTGCTCCCAGCAGGCCTCAATTTCCCATTCTTGAAGGGGGTCTCCCGTGCGACCCAGGGCCCGGGAGGGCCGCTCACCTCTCGCGCCGAGCGGAGCTGCTGGCGCAGAGCGTCCTTGCAGCCGTAGGGGCCGCCCTCGCCCGTGCCGCGGGGCTGGAAGTGGGCCTCGACGCGCGTGGCGCCGCGGTAGGCGCCCTGGTAGAAGGCGGGCCAGCCGAGCTCCAGCAGCGGCGGCTCCAGGTCCGACTGCTCGGGGAAGTAGGTGCCCGACGAGCAGTCATGCGAGGAGCCGAACGAGTCCTCGGCCGCCGCCGCCGCGCCCTCCTCTCCTGGCCTCTCCGCCGCGCGCAGGATGGCGTGCACCTCATCGGGGTTCAGGAAGCGAGCCAGGCGCTCGCGTCGCAGGAAGGCCGCGAAGGCTTCGGGGCCGCCGGCCACCAGCTCCTCCAGAGCCAGGCGCCGTGACTCGCTGAACAGCTCGGCCGGGTTGGGCGGCCCGCACGGAGACAGGCAGGCAGCCGGCAGTTCGTCCAGGCCCTCGGACAGCAGAGCCATAGCGGCACTCGGACGCGACAGCCCTGGGACAAGAACCAGCCTGCAGGCCTACTTTATAGGCAACCTTTGAATCAAACAGGCCCGCGCCATTGGCCGCACCTCCCCGCCTCGACTCTCCCATTGGCTGCATTCCTTCCAATAGCGGAGCGAGGCGGGGCGCAAGCCTCTACGGTTCCGCCCCCTCATGCGTTATTGGCTGCGATGCTGGGGTTGCTAAGCGGAATTTAAACTTGCAGGGGCGAAGCGGGCCGCAGAGCAGGGACAGAGCGGGGAGAGCCGGGCTCCTGGCCATCCCAGGGCGCCCCCTGCCGGCTGCCCCCCAGTGCGGCCCTACAAGGCCAGGAACAGTCAGGCCTAGGCAGTGAGGAGAGGCAGGTGCTGGCTCCCAGACACGTTGGCCACGCTGCTCCTAGGCTCTCAGAGCTTTGGTATGGCCAACCATATCGCCTTTATCCCCTGCCTTTAACCATGTATTCATTCATTTAAAAAATACCGGCTCATCATATTAGGACCCCTCCTTTGATTGCACCCTCGGGTAGTCTTCTCTCATTTCATCGGTTTTTGCCTTGTAAAACTCCAACCAACCCTGGTTATATCCTACTTTGCACCTGCACCCCGGCAGCCCTACAGGGCTGGAGAAAAAAACAAAAAGAGCATAACCATGCTTACTGACTGGTCATGTTTTAAATTCATAATCTGTAAGACTACCTGCTAGGAGGCCGGGCGCGCAGTGGCTCACGCCTGTAGTCCCAGCATTTTAGGAGGCCTAGGAAGGCGGATCACCTGAAGTCAGGAGTTTGAGACCAGCCTGACCAACACGGTGAAACCCCGTCTCTACTAAAAATACGAAAATTAGCCGGGCGTCTTGATGTACGCCTGTAATCCCAGATGCTCGGGAGGCTGAGGCAGGAGAATCACTTGAATGCGGGGAGAGGAGGTTGCAGTGAGTCCAGATCACACCACTGCACTCCAGCCTGGGCGACAAGAGCGAAACTCCATCAAAAACAAAACAAAACAAAACAAAACAAAAAAACGGCCTGGTAGGCCACATTTCCCTCATTCTCTCTACCTTTTCCTCTCTGACAGCTTGCCTCCTATGTCACCGAGAACACAGCAGCAGTGAGAAGGGAACGTCCACGTGCGCCCATCTAGTCTACCTTCCTGTCTCCATCGCTGCCCATATACTGGGCATTGATGAACTGCGCCTGTGCCCATCCAACCCCAACCCCTCTGCCTGGGCACTTCCAGCCCCTCTACTACTCGCCAGCATCACTCCAGCAACCTCCTTCTTTCTCCTGGAACATCAGCTTCCCTCTTTACTGATTCATTTCTATCAACCTACACGCATGCTGAAATATTTTTCGTCTTAAAACAACCCTCTTTTGACCCTACATTCCTCTAAAGCTCCCCATCTCTCTTCTTACTTTTGCAGCATAAAATCTCAGATGCGGCTGGCCATGGTGACTTGCACCTGTAATCCCAGCACTGTGGGAGGCCAAGGGAAGAGGATCACTTGAGCCCAGGAGTTTGAGACCAGCCTGGGCAACATAGTGAGACCCTGTCTCTACAAAAAAATACAAAAGTCAGCTGGGCATGGTGGTGCGCCTAACTCTTAGTGCATGACAGTGCTCCTGTTGGTCCCAGCCACTGGGAAGGCTGAGGCAAGGGATCACTTAAGCCCAGGAGTTTGAGGCTGTAGTGAATTATGATCACACCACTGCACTCCAGCCTGGGTGACAGAGTAAGACCCTGTCTCAAAAAAAAAAAAAAAAAAAAAAGAAAAGAAAAAGAAACCCTCAAACCAGTTGTCTATACCTGCTGTCTCCAGTTCCCTTCCAGCCCTCTTCAATCAGGCTAAACCCCTCACTTCTTTACCAAAACCTCTTGTCAGGTTCATCATGAGTTCCACAGAGCTAAATCCAACAATCAATTTTCAGTCCTCATCTTTCTTATGTAAATGAAAAGTGCGTCATAAATGTGAGAGGTTGCTATTATTATTTAGTAACCAATAACCTTTTTAAATGGATGAATGCCTGCGGCTATTCAGACACCTCTCCCTCTCTTCCCCTGCTCTCCTCATCCCTTTGTGAAGTTTCTCAAGAATAAGTGTGGGGCCTTCCATGTGTCCCTGCTCTGGTATCCAGGGTCTGGGAGGCTACAAGAGAGCACCTTTTTTTCTTTTTTCTTTTTTTTTTTTGAGATGGAGTCTTGCTCTGTCACCCAGGCTGGAGTGCAATGGTGTGATCTCGGCTCACTGCAACCTCTGCCTCCCAGTTTCAAACGATTCTCCTGCCTCAGCCTCCAGAGTAGCTGGGATTACAGGCTCGTGCCACCACGCCCGGCTAATTTTCTGCATCTTTAGTAGAGACGGGGTTTCACCACATTGGCCAGGCTGGTCTCGAACTCCTCACCTTGTGATCCAACACCCTTTTCATCCTCTTTAAAGAAAAACACCAACAAAGTTCTGTGTGGGACAAGGACCAAGGATTGTGGTCTGAGGCTGTGCAACCACATAGCTTCTGTATGGCTCTAATGCTTGAGGTAAAAAATGAGAATGGCCAGGGCCTTAGCTACTGTATTGCTGTCATAAGGTGAAGTACTTTATAGTATTGTACTTCCCCACAATAAGCACACGAGGGGAAAGAGTGGAATAGGGCAGGGGGAAGAGGACAGGACACATCAGTGTACTCCAAGAATGGGACAGAGGAGAGGGGCACCCTTGTTACATACAAATGTCATGAGAGGCCGGGCGCGGTGGTTCACGCCTACAATCCCAGCACTTTGGGAGGTCAAGGTGGGCAGATCACTTGAGGTCAGGAGTTGGAGACCAGCCTGGCCAGCATGGTGAAACTCTGTCTCGATTAAAAATACAAAAAATTAGCTGGACATCATGACAAGCGCCTGTAATCTCAGCTACTTGGGAGGCTGAGGCCGGAGAATCGCTGGAACCCGGGAGGCAGAGGTTGCAGTGAGCCAAGATCGCGCCACTGCACTCCAGCCTGGGTGAAAGAGTGAGACTCCGTCTTAAAAAAATAAAAATAAATAAATAAATATCAGGGAAAACTTTGAAAATGTATGGAATAAATATATGCAACTCTAGGGCCTCATGTTAATTTCAAAGAGAATATTTGACAGAATGAAGGTCATTCCCAACCACCAATCTTTTCTTGAATTCATCAGTTTTCACCATCTCCCAGTCTGGAGAGACATCTGCTCCAGGTCTGAGCCCCTAGAGCTCCCTCTACTTCAGGGGCCTCATGGGAAAGCCCTCTGTGGGGAAGGGGTGGGGTAAGGGGGAAGAGACTAGAAGCCCTCACCCACCCTCTATTCCAGAAACCTCCTCTTTGTGAATTCAAGTCAGCACTGTTGAAGTGAGCTCACAGCAATAACCACTCACACTAGCAGGTGTTATTAAAAGGAATTTAATAATTTTAATTAAAAACTCTTAACAGCGAATTCCGTCACAGGCCTTGGCATCTGGAAGCAACTCCAGGGACATGTGCCCCCTTTGGGATGTGGCTGACCCACGGTTTTGGACCCGAGGCCCACCGGTGCCGCGTGGCGAGGGGCTACCTGGAAGTTACTTCAATACGATATCAAAGATCCGCGAAGATTTTTTTTAAAAAAGTTTTAAATATATTAGACTCTCTTGATTGCCATTTTTACACAAAGCTGCTGATACAGTATACAGAGTTTTAACTTTTTTTTCACATAAAATACATTTTTTAAAGTGTTCTCTGTACATCAGTGGCTTCTGGTCTGGTGAATTATTGCGGAGGGCTGGGGGTCTGCAGACTTTTCCTGGGTGTGCAGAGCCAGGCCCCGCACGGTGGCACTTGCAATGCCCATGAGAAGCGGGCCCTCTGGCCAACAAGAGAGTCCTGTCGGGGAGAGGGCTATAGCTTCTGGCACAGGGGGTCACTTTTGCAGAGTCATCCACTGACCATTGGACCCTTTGCTCTTATGTGCCCTGGGGCAGGGGAGACCATCCCCAAGTTACAAATAGCAAGAGTTAAATACAGTCTTTCTGGGCATCTTGAAAGGAGCACCCTTCTTGAAAGTACCCCAGTATCCTGCTCTAGAAGAGAGAGCAGGTAGGTGAGAGAGCTCAGGATGAAAAGGTATCTGACACCAACAACCACAGTGGTCTCATGTTATTACAAAGCCAGCAAACCGGTGGGGCAGGACAGGGGACACACCCTTGTTAACTTTTCTAAGCCCCTTGGAAATGGATCAAACGGTGCAGAGCAGTTTTACTTATGCTGCGTATTTGATGGAGAATTCTATCCTGAAGTCTTCAGTAGCTCTGGGCCTAGAGTTTATTCGGCTTCCCTAAGCTACTCGCCAGAAACCCACAGTCTGGTGATAGCCGCCAACTTTCAGTTGTTTGGGGCATATGATGGTGAGTCATGCAGCACCTGCTTTGGAAGTGGTCTCCTTTAATCTAATGAGGAGCTGCCACAGGACCTGGGTCTCAGCAGGAGCTAGGCATCTGGCTGACTTTGCCTGGTTTCTCCCAGCTCCTGAATCCACCCCTGCCATGGAGGGAGGCAGATTCCCGGGGAAAGGCTTTGATGCTGAAGGAAGCAGCAACTTTTCCTCCCATTATCCATTAGTGGGGTGAGGGGACTATGTAATAAATGAGCCACCATGAGCAAGAAACAATGACTTTAAAAACCTGAGATGCATTCGGCAGCAAATTGCAGAACAGTCTTCTAGACACTGATCTCAAGCTGATATTATAGAGTCCCCCAAAGATGCTGGCTGAAGGCAGCTATCACTGAAAGTTCCAGATGGAGCTGGATGATGTCTGCCTGGAACCCGAGACCCAGCATCTATAACTGCTGGCAAATGTTATCCGGGGTGGCCATGACAGCTGTTCCCAGCTAAAGGAATTCAGACTCTAAGGATTCTGGGAGCTGAAAAGCAAAGGGTCGCTGGACCAAGATGCAGACACTTTGCCTCAGGTGACTTGAATGGGACTGCTGATGCCTGTGATCCCCAAGGGGCAGAAACCACAAAGAACAATTCTCTTGACTCTGTCGTATTCCTCCTTTATCCGCAGAACCTAACATAGTGGCTGGCATGGTGCAGCTACTCAGTAAATTACGTGAGTGAATTAATGA